TAGATCAGTTTTCAATAAAAACTAAAGCATTTTTAAAAGACAACTTTTTGGTATTTTGTAGGAGAATTTATCAGATCTGTTTGGTAATTTTTCCTAGAGAATTAATAGATGAAATGTGCTTATAATGCTTATAATTGTCATGTTTTTGTTGGATCAAAACATGGTTATTTTTTCCCTGAATTTTGTTTTTGTTGTAAAAAGTAGACTTTCTACAGAAAAAGTATAAATTTTCATGAATTTTATTTTAAGATTAAACCAATTCTTTATAGCTTTTCCTAGTAATTTCAAATAGAGTCTGAAATCTACACAAAAAATTTTTATTTTTTCTGGAAATTTCTGCAAATTTGATTCGCTCCATGATTTGCTAAAAAGTTTGCCAAAAAAAAAGAGCAAATAATTAAGAATTTAAATCCATTTTTAGTGAAAAAGAAAAGAAAATGGACTTGAAATTGTCATTGATTTGAAGCTGAAGGTCAGAAATGGTTTCTGGAATCGATGGCTTTTCAATAATTAACGCGTCGTTTCTTCTATTTTTTGTTGTTTAATTTTTTTTTGGTTTATACAATATGTTTATTATTGGCTTTTGCGTTTGCCCACATGTGCCATATAGAAAATAGATGGATATATATTCCGATATAATTTTTTTTTTATTTTTTGTATGACGTAAGCGCTCACGAGTCGTTGTCTGCGATTTTCCACGCATCTGACAGATAATTTTTATTCTTTTTGTTTTTGGTTCTTTAAACTTTGTGTTTTAAGATATTATTTTATTAGTATTGCACACTTTTTGATATTTTTAATTGCTTTTTATTTTAATACAATTTTTTATTATTTGTTTAAAAATGAATATTTTACCGTTAGCGCGACAGCAGTGAAAAAAAAAATGAAAATAATAAAAAAAGAAAATGCCAGCAAAGTCGACGTGGCGAACGCATTAACGGAAACTACTGAAATGTGAAAGGCAGCGCTGAAAATTTTTCAATTCCGATTCCTGATCTCGACGATTTCGAAGTCTATATCTGCAAATACATATATACACACACAGAGTGTGTGTATGGGTGAGTATCTGTGTGAGACAGGCTAACTTCGTTGCTGACGAGATACACGTGTGGCGGCCAGTTTTGTACAAGTATCTGTTGCTGTGAGGATGTATCTTCCATTTTTGTTTGTGTTTGTGTTGAGGCAAGCAGCAAGAGGCCCCAGATCATCGTTGTTCTGTCTGCCAATTTCGAAATATGCTAACCCCCCGCACATACACCTGCCCCCACACACACCCACCGCCGACTGCCATAAATTTTCACACCAAGACCCCCAAAAGCACTTTTTCGAATTTCGAAAATCGTCATCATCCGAAAAAAAAATAAATAGGATTTTTGACTCTTTTGAAATATATTTGCATAGCGAAAGTAAAAGCGAAAATGAGTACAATTTTTGAGAAGAGTTTTCTCTCACATTAGAGAGCAAATGTCCCAGAGATCCTAACACCTAACTAAAATTATAATAACTAGAATGAAGTTCAAAAGCCTCAAGCATTTCCTTTAAAAAACTATAGCTTTCGATCCCCAAGACCTCCATTAAAAATCACATTTTCTTTCACAAAATGTGTGACCAATTAATTGTCACTAAAATTTGTATAAACCATAAATTATAATGAATTCTTCTAGAGTAATCAAACATCAAAGTCTTTATGGTTCTGACTTTTCAAATTTCACAAGATACTCTTTACTAAATATATCATTTTATGTGTGGATATAATAATTAAAAAAATAACATATTCCATCCAAAAATAAAAAGTATTTTCATTAGAGTATTTATTTTTTAAAAGTATGAGAATATCCATTTTTTATTAAGTATTTTAGTTTTATTTACTTAAGTTATTTGGCAAAAATAAAGCAATACAAAATTAAGGTCTTGTGGGGGGTTTCTTAGTATTATTGTTTTAGAGAAATACACTTAAGTTTCTTTATTTATTAAAATATCAAATTCTTCTTGAAAAAGAGTACAATTTTCTCTCAAAAATATTAAAATAAGTGATGTTAGATGTAAAAACAAATTATAAGATCAAAGAAAAGTTACAAAAATGGTGAAAAATTCTTCAGAGATATTTATTGATTTAGATTTGAAACTTATAACTTATAAAGGGTTCTAAAAACACCAATATTTCTATAATTTTGACTCTCAATTATAGATTTAATAACATGTTAATATTTCTAAAATAAATTCTTTTTTTTTGGCAGAAAATGGAAAATGTCAAGCCACGAGTCGAAAGGGGCAAGGAGGCAACTGCAAATACTTAGCTGGGCTCGTCAGATCATCAATCTGCTCGTTTGTGGCACCTGCTATCAAGATGTTTGGCTAAAATTGTCCATCGACCCAACACCACCCCCTCCTTCCGTCAAGACACGAGGCAAGGAAATCGAAAACAAATGCCAGAAATGCCTTACGTAGGATGTATTCGTACAATCCGTACTAAATCGTACAAAATCGTACATATAGCGTACATTTTGTACCAAAAAGTCCGCGTAAATGCGATTCCTAGTGGTGACGCTATGTCGGTTCCGCAAAATACATTTATAGATCCCCAAGACAAGAGGGTGGAAGAGATGGGAAAGCGCCAAACAACCAGAAATAGAACTGCAACATGCTCTTCTTTTTCTTATTTTTTTTTTTCTAATTTTCTCTAGTTTTTGGTTTTTTTTTCTGCCACTTTTCTGTGGTAGTTTTTGCTCGCAGTCTTAGTACTTAATCTTTTGCGATTTATAGCCACTAAAACAACAACAACAAAAATATCAAGTGTAGAACTAAAAAAAAAATAAGAACAAAAATTGAAAAACAGGGGAACGATATATACTTTGTGCGATATTTTTGCGCCTGCATTCCTGTCATGTCAGTTGTAAAGGTGCCAAGCTCCGGGCACACTTGTACACTCAGAAAAATTTATTATCCCTCAACTATAGGGACTACAGTGAAAGAAATTGAGAAATTGCTTGTTTTAAAGTTAAGTATGGAATTTTGAAAAATAATATCTATTATTTTAATAATATTAAGACCAAAACGGTTACAAAATTTAGATATTAGGAATGACTGTAGGAGTGTTTTTTAAAAAGGATTCAATTTTACACAAGAAAATAATCATATAGGACTATTTGAGGACTATGCATTATATATAACATTAATACTACATTTCTTAAATTCGAGAAAACATTTAAATTACATTTTTAAGAATCTAATAATATTAATATTTGAGGCGAAAGGTATAATCGATTTTTTTAAATAGAAAAACTTTTGGAATAAAAGTTTGAAAAGAGTTTAGACATATTGTAAACTATTTTTTAAGAATTCAATCATGTTAAAGAGTAATTTATTTTTATAGATTTTAAGAATATTTTAAAAAACAGTTCGAAAATTGTTTCCAAATATGAAAATTTCTTTTGGAAAATATGCAACAGTACTATTACTATTTATTTATTATTGTGAAGTTTTGTACAAAACCAATCTTTTAAAAACCACATAGCTTAAGAACTTGTTTTAAAGTTAAATATGTTTTTTGTTTCTCTGTAAAATGTACGTGTTGTACTTTTTTGTATGTCTTTCTGTTGGCAAAGTCGCAATAAATTGATTCCTAATGCAGTCTGGCTATCTGTCTGGTAGTCCATTTGCCAAATAAAACGATTTCGGTCTGATCGGGCTTTTTGGCATTATTTCCGCTTTGATCGCTCAACCGATCGCCCACAGCAAGTGAAAGTATATTCTTTTCTTTGTTTTCCGCAAAAAAACGTTGCACAATTTCTTGCACATCTGCATAATGCAGTTGCATGTCAAAAAATTATGGCATCATGAAAGAATTTCAATTCTATCTTTTCACAGCTCCCACATTTCAGGTCTTTTTTTTTGCAGAAAATGCGCATTTTTATACACGCAGTATTCTTTCCTTTTTTTAATGAACAAGGAATGGCCCAATTTTTATTTTAAAAATTTATTTTGACACATTTGAAGCAGGAAAAGATTCAGAGACACAATTATGGCATATATGTGGAAAGATTATAGGCGAAAAGTGAAAATTTCACGGGACAAGTAAAATGGGATGCATCCATTAATTACCAGAAATTAAAAATATAATATTTGTGTATTTTAAGATGGCTTTTAAAAAGGGTAATGTGATGTGAAGGAATATCTATTTATTTCACATAAACTAATTAGATAAATGTGTGTTTTTTTTACATGTAAATAAAATAATAGTTTCTTATTTTAATTCCCTTTATTTAACGACGATTTTCTTTAAATTCCCTTTATTCGACCCTCTATTTGAAGTGACCGTTACATTTCCCTGGTTAAGAAAAAGCCCAAAAGCCCTTTGGTTCTTAAAATTGCTAAAGAATCTGAAAGCTTTCAATGAAAAGCTATTTTTGCACCTGTGGCATAGATGGTGCCACCTGGAAAAAGCTCTAAGAAACACTACCCTTACAAAATCGCAACAGAATAGGGATATAAGGATATATAATATTTTAACAGACAAATTTTAAACAACTAAAATAAGAGCATATAAAGGTTTTATAGGGTTGTTTGAAAAGTTATAAGAAATGAAATACTTTTATTATTTTATATTATTTATCTAAGTATTAGAAATTTATTACTTTTAAGACGTTTATAAAATCGGAAGGTAAAAATAACAAAAGGGTTTTAGTTTCTCAAATATATAGATTTTAAAACCGGTTTTAAAACATAATGTATTTATAAGAGTAGTAATTAGAGAATTTCAATTATAAATTTTATGAAAAAACAATATCAATACCGATTTACCGATACCGATATCAATATCAGATTAAATAAATAGGTAGAAAGGAAACATTTAAAAGCTTATTGAGTTTGGTATTTAAACAAAAAATATTGATTACTTCTAAGATCGGCAATTGCCATAGTTTGCCTTAAAGTGCTCTTATTAAAGTTTCAAAGTTAAACAAATAAAATCAAATAAAGAATTTAAAGAATAATAAGCTCACCTTCACACTTTAGACCCTGAATAAAAAATCCTCCCATCAGGGAGCCACAGTGATCGCAAAAAGTCGGTGACATAAAAGTGTGGGGCTTGAAACGATGCGGCATATCGATCTTAAAACGTTCCCGCAGCAACTAAATCATAAAGAATAATATTAAATATACATAATACAATTTTAATTAGAAATATTCAATAGAAAAACTCACAATTGTACTAGCTGAGGTAAAAACAGATCCAGAACACTTGCCCAACAACTTTTCGTGACACTTTTTATGCACCACCGTCTGACAAACTGTATAGGAATTATTTAATTTATTATTTGAGACACATTTTAATTTAAAAACAATACTTTTAAGACTTACTAATGCATTGATAACCTTGTTTACCAAATCCCCAGAGGAACAAGTTGCAAAAAGCACAAAAAGTTGGTTGTCGAAAGAACTTGGCCACAAAACGATGTCCATTGATATCGTGGGTTCTGAAAAGGATGGTATATAATATAATTATTATTATTATATAATTACATTTTGTCAGCTTACTTCTGATGCTTAATGGCGCCTCGTCGATTGGTTATGCTCCGAGGACGAGTTCGCCTGTCCACATAGACACCGCTTCCTGTGACACCAACGCCTCCTTTTTCGGGCAAACCAGTGCTGCTCTCCCGATCTCGATCCCTGTCCCTATCCCGATGGTAGGCCTCCTCTTTGGAGTGCTGCCTGGGCAGCTCAAAGGAATGCTGCTTGCCATAGTGATCTCGTTCCCGATCACGATCTCTGTCCCGATCCCTACGTGCTCCACCGGAGGCACTACTGCCACTTAAACCACTTCCAGCTCCACTGCTGCTGCTTGAGCTCTGTTTGTAGCGCGTCTGGAATAAATGATATTAAAATAATTAATATATATTTGGAAAACAATATGTTTACAAAAATCACTTCATTATGGAATTCAATAAATTCTGGCACCTGTTCTATCAAAAAAATCATTTACAAATACTTTACACAATGTTTACACATTAGTTTAATATTTTTAATTGGATTCCCCGAACGAAATCCAACGCTTTGGTTTTTGTAAATAAAACAGATCTGTTTGTTTTAAATCAAAACAAAAGAAATTTTGGTTTATAATTACAATTCATTCATGCAGATATTATTAAATAATAGTTTTGTTTAATAATTACAGAAGGCATGTGGAAAAAAGAACGTATATAAAGATCTATAGTTGTAGTATTATAAGGAGAAGTTATAAAAGTTGTAAGGGTTTAAGATTTAAAAAAATAGTTTTTCAAAGTCATTTTTAAAAGAAAAAGTAAGGTAACTGGTATCATATAGCTGAGAATCTATGGTTAAACTTGTGATTAAAAATATAAAGTCTTTTTTTCTAAAAATTACTTAAGTAACGGATATGATATACCTATTATATCCTATTATATTAATAATTATGGTATTATTTATGTTTCTAAAACAAAAGTCGTGATGAACAGATCACCAAGGACTTTAAGTACTTGTAAGTACCGAGTATCATATAACAGAGAACTTTTTGTTTCAAAAATAAAATGTAATTATATTTTAAAATCGGAAAGTACCGGGTAACGTGTAGCTAATAATATGAAACTTATACTACAATCATCTTCTGATATCGGGACTCTTAGGAAGCTTACTTCCTCTAGGCTTTGGAAAACCCTAATCCTTTGTAGAACCTCCACTCACCTCGTGACTCCCCTGACCACCCTGATGACGAGAAGAGCCCCCCGAGCTGCGGGGTCGCTGGCTGCTGGAATTGCTGGACTTTTGCTTGCGCACCTGGGCGCGTGTGAACATCATCTTGGGGTCTTGCTCTGCGGTCTCCTGATTCCGTTACGGATTGTGATTCCGATTCCCATCTATATACAAATATATATATATATTTTTTTTGTCTATATATTTCGTATGTGGCGATCTTTTAGGTGTGTTTTCTTGGGGCTTCTGTTTTGTGTTTCACTTTTGGCGCTTTATGGCGGCGAGTACAAGGCGATTTCTTTTATATTTATATTAAATAAACAGTTTGCATTTTCAGTCAGCTGTGTGTTTCTGCTTTTGCCTTATGCTTTCTGCTTTCAGCTTCTGCTTTCTGCTTTTTTCTGGCACTTCTTGGCCAGGTTTAAAGCCGCGTTGATGGATACCTGAAAGACAAGCACAGTGAGAAAAATACATATTTATATACAAAATATTTTGAATTTGAATGTTGTGGCTGGATCGACATTGGCCTTTAGCCGTCTGCCCCTTTTAGTTTTTTTTTCCCCCTCCACCAACACCATTTTCCCCTAAGGGGAAATTGTGTCACGTATTCCGATATGACATTGACATTTTTTTTTTTTTTGGGCCGGAGCGAGTGGGTGGAAAAGTGTTGAGGAACCATTTGTCTGATGCCAGACTGATGATCGCTGAGAATCTATTAATTACACTGAGAGAAATGTCATAACAGAGATGTATTTATAATATGCTTGTGAGAATTTAGAAGTGGAAAATGGTTAAAAACTCGTTTTTAAAGAAAGTATGTATATCTTTCTTTCAACAATTCTTTGATTTATTAAAACTTTCAAAAATTTTCTTTTTAAACATTAAAATGAACTTGTTAATGGAGGTAATGGAACTCTATCTAACTCTACCATATCTCAAATAAATGAATTCATCATCATAAGAATGAATTTAGCAACAAACTAGGCAAAATATACATTGTGTTATTTATAGATTAATAATTTGAATTCAATTTAAATTAATTTCAAATCATTATTATAGAATAAACTCATCAACAAATGAACCGAATGAATGCGTTCATTAGAAATTGAATACGTTCAATATACCCTACCCATTAAGATAAATGGTAATTAGGAAATGAGGTCAAATCAAAAATGATCCTTAGTTCAGGATTACACATATTTACCTCTCTTAAGACTTTATTCTATAAATTATTAAAAAGAAAAATTATAAATGATTAAAATGTATCTATCAGATCTATTATCAGATCTACTATCAGATCGTATCTATTTGTCATCAGACTCAAGTATAGAAAATTATTTTCAATGGCCATAAAGTTGGCTTTTTAATGTTTAAATATGCTGAATAATTTCTTTGGAAAATTTTATTTTCGGGGGAATAACAAATTTTTTTTGATTCATCGTTAAGAACATAATTTCAACATAATTTCAGAATTAGAGTGTATTTGTTTGGAATTCTTCAATGATTACTATTTGAAAATTCGGTTGTTTTCGAGACTGTTTTTGTTTCAATTAAATTCTATTTTGTTTCTTTTTTGTGTGATTTGGAAAGTTGACTGGAGGATCGGTCGAATAATAATGGATTCGGAAATTTATTGAAAATCTAACAGCCCACACAAAACAGGAGAGCAAAAATACACAAGAAAGTTGTTGGAGGGAATCCGCGCAAATTGGCGAAAAACGTTTTGAAAAATATGATTTTTGTTTTTGGCTCTTTGGGCTTTTTTTTTTCATTTTCGGGTTATAACGGAAGGGGGATTTCGGTTTTTGGACGCGCCACCCCAAAAATAAGCTCTTGATTCATTTAGATGATTTTTGTTGTGAATGCCGTACCGCTTTCCATTTCCATGCCCGATTGTTGTTAATATTATTAAAAATAGAAATTAAGTGGCGAATTGTGCGCGATTGCGTGCCAATTGATTGCCGGATATGATAAAAACACAAACAAGATGTGCCAAATCCTTCGATCCGCAAAGGAATGAATCTATATATCTAAGCTATATGTAGGCTAGATTTCTAGATTTCAGGGTTAAGGTTCTCAGCTCTCCGTCCATCAAGGCTGACTGTCGCATTACAAAATCGAAACGGAATTCGAAAGAATTTTAATCCAATTCGGGGGTCCCTGGAAAATATTTATTTGTCTTTTTGTGTTTTGTGTTTTTTTTCAGAATTTATGGTTCTAAACTCATCAACAAAATAGGGTCCTTGAGTAAAATGTGGTTCGTTTTCAGATATAATTTTACAAGACCTACAAGAAAATTTATGAGATTATTCTAGAGGATGTTTTGGAGATAAAAATTTTAGTTTTTTGGCTTCCTTTTACTGAATAAATGTTGTATTTCTTTGAAAGCCTTCTTTGAAAATTATACAGAGATTTTTATAAGTCATTTACAAGAAAACATCTGAAGTTTTGATAGGTTTTTTGTATAATTTTATAGGAGAACTATGTATGTTTCATAAATTATAAAAACTGTTTAATGCTTAAATTGTTTTAATTGTCCTTTTTAGAGTTCCTATTTTTATTTTTGGTTTATATTTTTCTAAATAATGTCTGTTGCTTTCGAATTTGTCGAATCTTTGTATATATATTATTGTTTTGACATTGTTATGATTGCTTTTTAGCCTAGTTAATCCCGAAAATTTGTGTGGTCTTTTTAATTACTTGAAAAATATTTATTTTTTCAAAAAGAAAGGTATTTTGTTTTGCTTTAAATATTTTTTTTAATGTATGTTTTTTGCAAAACTTATGAAGGTAAAGAAAGGAAAGAAAAAAACAAAAGTTCAAGATTTTTACAACATATTCAAGGTAAATTAAGAGAATCGTTAATTGATTTTAAAATGAATTTTACGAACTATGTATTATAATAGTTTCCCATTTCCTCTTGCAGTAGATTTTTAAGTTTCCTTCTCTTAAGTTAATTATTTATTATTTGGCATTAATTTTATTTCAAATAAATATTTGTACACAATTGTAGAGTGTCTGGAAGTGTTTAATTAACTGGAAACACAAATGTCTTAACTCACACGATCGTTTGGCTAAATGAACTGATTTTCCAGCGGCGGTTCATGTTGGATTTTTGTTATTTTGGCGGCCATCGTATGGCGATAATTGAACTTGTATTGATGGGCCATCGGCGATTGAGATGACAAGTAGTTTATAGAGCTCGATTCTGATTGATCGAGTGGGGCATTCCGAGTCTATCACGAGCACGTGTTCGACCGCGAAAATCTTGAAAAAAAAGTGATCCATTTTTGTGAGAGAATGAAAATGAAGGAAAATACGGAGGATTTAAAAATTTGTGTGGAGAAAAGTGGAGGAAACTTTTTGGATTATTCTGATTGAAAATCTGAAATTTTTGGGATTGGATTGGGGGGTTGGGAAGAAGAGAGAGAGAGAGAGAGGGAGAGGAAAGCAGGGAGGGTATGGGGCTACTATAAACACATTCCACATTTGGTACACACAATAATAAATATTTCGTAGTGAAATGCTTTTGTTTTAATGCCCCGAAAAACACATCGCAAATGAACTGTATGATTGTGCGGTTCTCTCTCTTATTCCTTTCCATCTTATTCTCTTATTTTTCATCGCATTTTCCTCCATTTTATTCATTTTTCCGTATATAATCCCCCGTATATAGTTCTATATGGGTGTGACGTCATAATGCCAGGTGTACAAAAGGCCCAGGTGCACCTGTAATGTCTGCCTGGGCCTCTATATATACTTTTTTTGGTCGTCTTTTTTTTTGTGGTTTTTTGGGCAATCCTTTCACTTTCACTTTTCACTTTCCACTGAAAAAAAAAATAGAATGAAGAATGTACTTTTCACGCACTTTCACTTGCCTGCAACACGCATACGCCGTGTTGCACGTTCTGGTGCAAAAATTATTTCCACCAAAAACAACGAAAGCACAACCGAAACATGGCCAGAACGTGCAACAATTTTCGCCTTTTTTTTCTTTTTTGGAAAATAAATAGAATCTCAAAGTAACAATAAATAGATTCGAGTATCTGTCAGATACAGTCCGCTCTGAATTTTCCGCAGCGTTTGCACGGGAACGCTCAGCATTCGTATCTGAAAGTGATATACCCGAATTGTATCTTAGACTCTGGCCTATACAGCTGTATCTGTATCTGAGTATCCGAGTATCTGTGTATCTGCATCTCCGCGAGAGCGATCTCTCATACTCTCTTTTCGTATTGAAACTTTTCTTGTTTTTCCTTCAGTACCGTCGCCTTCGATCCATATAGACAAAATATATGTTTTTATTTTTTTGTGTATATTTTGTATATGCAAGATCATGTGCTCTTTTTACATTGCTCCCTGGCGTTACCCAAAATGTTGGGGTGCCCAGAGAGAAACTGAGAAATTGAGAAAATAGAGAACAAGAAAAGCTTTATTTGTTTGGAATTTTTTGAAAAAAAATTAAAAAAAATAGTTCTTTTTGGAAATCAGTATTTAAAAAAATAAATAATCTTTAAAAACTAGTTGAATTTAAATAGTATAACGTTGTAAACATAAAATACATATTTTATTTTGGGTATAAAATTTGGTTTTTAATTATATGGGAAATATAGGAAATCTCCTATTCTATACCTTTTACCCAATCATGAATAAAGCTTTAGAAGCTTTATTATTTTTTTGGGGGTTTTTGAAGGCACGCGCCTCTTAAAAATCTTCTCGCAAAATCTCAATGTTTATTTATGTATTTTTTCTGTTAATTTTAACTTGAAAAGCAAACAAACTGAGAGCCCGAAAAATATAAAAGCTATTTGTTTGAGAGAATTGTATTGATTGGTACTCGGAATCTTAAAGTTTCCACTTCGGAAAACACACATGACAAATGATTTTGATCGATCTGGTAATTCCCATCACTTGATTCATTGATTTTCTTCAATTTTGTCAATAAATTTGAAGAATTTTTGTTTTTTTTCAAGGTTAAATTAATTTTATTTATGATTGAGTCTTTTTGGTGAGGTTACAAAAATCATAAAACTCTTATTACATAATAGGAAACTATCAATATCCGGTACTTATAGAGTACCTATAAGATATAAGCCTAAAGATATGCACCAGAAAATAATTTTTATAGGAATATTCCTTGAAAACTTTTAAAGAAAAAATTGTGGAAGGCTTAGCTTTTGTCTCATTATTTCTAGAATATCTTTAAAATACATCTCAAGATTGTTTTTAGAGTGTCTATAAAAAAATAAGCCCACAAGTCTGCATCAGAAAATTGTGTTGCAAACAAATATCCTTGAAAACTTTAATAAAAAAAGTACCTGGTCTCTGATAGTCTTAATTTTTAGTCTTTCCTTTAGCTTTTGTCTCATTATTTCAAGAATATCTTTACAAATTTCTCCAAATACAAAGGCAATTATTGAGCAATGAATGCCAAACTCTTAACAACTGTCTGGCTGTGTGAACTTTGGCCCTCGAGGACAGAAGAATACCAGAATATTGGCCTGGCCTCGTTTTCGATTTTTTTTTGTGTTTAGTTTGGCGAAAATCAAATGCCGAACAATGATTGAGTTTCGAGTCAAGGCCGAGCTGGGGGGGGAGGGAAAAAGTTTATCGTTTAACTTTTCCGGGGTCAGAAGCCGGGGGTCACAACGGCAGCTGCTCGGCATTTGTATTCGGTGTATTGGCCTGGCCGACTGATTCATGGGCTTCATTTTCCGGCGGTTTGTCTGCCGAAAGCGAATTGAATGGCATAAATCAGTTCTTGCCCAGACAATAATGAAAATGTCGAGCCCATATTGCGGCACACTTGAAACTGTATCTTCGAGACACATCTGTATATTGATATTCAACTAGATAGATAGTTAATCAAGCAAAAAAATATGGCAAACCTTCGTGTGGAAGGTGCTGGATCCTGAAAAGAATGGTCGCGTGCAAGGAGCTTATAAGTAAGTACCTCTGGGTTGTGGCATCCGACAAATATCAGTTGCATGCCATGCCATGCCAGAAAAATAAAAGGATGCTGCCGGTTGCATGCTGCAAGGATTTCCCCAAGGCTTTCATGAAGGAAAAATCTCTGAAATTCTGCACCTGGCATTTGGCAGTCATTACCAAAAAGTTTAAGGAGCTTAAGCTGGGGCTTCTCTCACTCAAAATCACCTGCAAGCCTTTAATAATTTCACACGACAAAGCCAGGCACAAAATGCCCTGAGAAATCTATACAGAAATTATAATCATTTACATAAACTATGAATGGACCTTGTGACTCAGCTATTTGGTAGCCTTTGAGGCCGTTGAGGGTTGGTCCGGTTGTGGGGTAAGCCCAAACAATCAGTTTTTGGTCCTGGATGGACGCAACATTTTGATGACCACAGCTGGAATGGCCCCAATGGCGCAATAAACACAGATACTCACCCATACTGGGAATGGAGTGCTTACAATATATAACCATTATCAGGTGTCAGTCCCGTTGTTTACTTAGTCAGCGACAATTTCCATTTGCCAGCCAAGCTAGCGGGTCAAGACAATGTCCTTGCTAAAGATGGGAAGGAAACATCATTATTTAATTCAAAATATAAAAAAATACCAAAAAAGTATGAGTGGGGTCACACTTTAGGGCCAGTGTTACCTTGCTATGCGACAAAAAGTTGCTCAGAGTTTTAATATTTCTTATTTTTTCCAGAAATCAGTTTCAAATGGCAAACAATCTCCATGTATCCTTAACTTCCATCTCTAGACAAGCCCAAAAAAAAGGGTCCTTGGCATTCGTACACGTCGCACAATCAATTGCTATTAGTTTTCATTACCCACAAATTACCATAAAATCACATAGCCAGGCAACTAGCCAGAAGGCCTTTTATTTTTTTTTTCGCCCTTTTCTTGGACAAACTACTTACGACCGCAAGGTGAACACTTTTTCGATATTCATGGAATAATTACACTTTATCAGGGACACTTCATGAATTAGCAACAACAATCCAGACAAGAAAAGGACCAAGCACCAAGGACCAAGGACCCGGGACCCTTCTTTCTTGCTCAACTGAAATTAGTCAAGTTTTTGTTGCGTTTACGTGGAAATTATCGTAATTAGAATATATTGAGCAATAAAAGTGATTTTTATTATTGAACTTGTGCTACACTCACCTCCCCAGCCATCCTTTCGGTTCGTCGTCGTTTGCACTTTATTTTGGGCCAGCCAGTCCAGGTAAATGGCAAACTTTTCTCAAGTGCCGGGGATGTGAAGTGGGGGGGATGTGTGCCTGGGGGAAAGTCGATCCTTTGAGGCAACTTTACCGCTTGCAGGGCTACCGAAGAGCTGGCCAACTTTTCGTAGCAATACTATAGTTTTTGAGTTGAAGCTCAAAGAGTTTCTCATCGAAGCCCTGGACATCCGGATACAGGACATGGCGAAATTAACTCTCCGGCGACGGGACATAAAAACGCAGGCAGGACATTTCATTGGCTGCTGTTAAATAGAATCGGTGAGTGTACTGAGAAAAATATTATTGAGAAAGTTAGAGATTAAAAGATAAATCGGGCACGATTTAATTTAAATCTTTTTTCTGAATATTAAGTAATCTTTAAAATACGTAGCCTACTTTAAGGTGTCTTTAATATTATTTAAAAATTATTGTAGGACTTGAGTATTTAATAAACCTACAGGATAACAAATTAATTATTATTTTTATTATTTTTTGGGATTTTTTAGTTAACAACAATGTTTTCGGGCTTCGATTAAGTTAAGTACTCCCCAGCTAAGTATGGTACACCTTGCCTACTTTAGGTCTATGTCTTAAATATTTTTCAAAATTCTTTTACAGACTTCAATATTTAATAAACTAAAAATATAATTAAAAAAATAATTTTAAATGCAAATTTTACGTTTGCAACATTTTTTTTGAGTGCACAAATGAGATCTAAATGGATCCGAATTTTAGGGGCTTCTGATTTGGAGTAGGGAAGGGAAGGTCCTAGGTTGGGATGAGAGGTTATAGGGCCCGAGCACTTCGCATGTTCTGGCTGTTGTCCTGCCTGTATTTGTGTAGTTGTGGGTGTTTTGTCAAGAAGCGAATGTCAATGGCCAAAAACAGCTGTCAAAACACAGACACTCCTCCAGGAGCATGATAATGTAATTTGACAATCAACCGAGTGCCACCAGGGCACCCGAAAACGAGCTGAACTTTGAACTGTGCTCCCTGTTTTTCGAGGGAAAGCCCAGGATACCGGACTCTGTCGGCATACTCTGGCCTTTGCTAATGCAACTTAATCGATTGGCAATGCTGGGGCATTTTCTAGGTAATCGACTTTGATGGCCAAGGATTCGGATACGGATTCGGATTCGGCCATTTGATGTCCTGCGAAAATGTGCAAAATACAAAGATATCGCAAAGGGACATGAGGATTTAATGAGCAGACGCAACACTGAACTGACAGGGAAGGACTCATAAATTGTTTTGACCAGAAAAGAGGGGGCTGCTTTTATGAAAACATTTCCGTGGACATTGCCCATTAAAGTGTTGACGTCCTGCCACTGCCACTGCCACTTCCACTTCCACAGCCACTGCCCAATGCACTTAGGCCAAAAAGGTCCTGGTCGTGGAGTCCTGGAATCCTGCGGCATTGGCATTGTTTTGTTTTATATGCAAAGAGCTTATAAAATTGAATAGAGAGCCGCGCGCGGATTCATAATAATGGCCTGCAATGTGGGAACTGCGTTAACCCGCTTAATGTCTGCACTTAAATCTATAATATGGGGCATATAAAAAAAATCATAGCACATAAATTATGCCCTTTTTTCTAGGGTGGAACTTGTTACCAAAATAACTTAGAGTCTATACTTACAGTATACGTCATAAATCTCGTTGCAATTCAGGTCCACCTTAAAACTTCCATCCAATAAATAGAAAAATTACATTAAAATAATGTTGTGTAAGCGAAAATTGCATTTACAAATCCAATCTGGTGTTGGGGGAGGCACCTAAAATGGAAAAAAAACTGCCCTTTATACCTATAGGGTTATAGACAAAGTTATACTAGAGAGTGCCTACCACTCCGGGTCGCCACCCCACGGTACCATGGTACAGTGTGGCACAAAATGGTCGAGTTT